AGGGATAGCATTAGGAGATATACCTAATGTAAATGATGAGTTAATGGGTGCAGCACACCAACATGGCACATGTATACATACGTAACAAACCTGCACATTGTACACATGTACCCTAGAACATAAAGTATAAAAGAAAAAAAAGAAATGGTGGTTATTTTAAGCCATTACATTTTGGGGTAATTTATTATGCAGTGAATGAATGACTGAGACAACTCCACTTCTAAATACTTTATCCAAAATTATGCCCAAGTATGCTTTCTGTTTCTTGCTGGGACCCGGACTGACACCAAGTTCTGTGGAAGGACCCTGGCTGAAGACTGGAATCCATCCTCCACTCTCTCAACATTGTTGGTGCCAAGGACTCCATTCTGGGATCCAGAGGCTCCTCTTCCTAACAGAGGGGAACAGGCATAGCCTTGTGGTTCAGCCCCTTCTCAAGTGGCAGCATGGGGAAGACAGCCAAATCAATGTCTCATTTTTCTATCTTGCTGAGTTCTGAAAACAGCCTCAAAAGGAAAAGAGAAAAGGCAGTAGAATGCCTTATTTTAGACCTCCCTGAGAAGCTCTGTAGCTTCAACTTCTGTAAAAGCAACTCTGTAGCTTTTATAGTTCCAATCTAATTTCAAGAACTATAAAAGCTGTGGTCAATGGGGATCAGTGGAAACAATTTGTATATGACATAAAAACAGGACAGAAATATTCTCCCCATGTTTTTGCTCCTATAGTAAGGACCAAGTTCTAGGATTAAAAAAACTGACTTCCATAGTATTGTCTATGGAATGCAAGGTTAAAAAAATCTGTTTTTCTAAATCTTTCTTAGTGTTTTGTAGTTAAAACAAAATTTTAACGAAAATACTTAAAAATGAAAAAAATTACCCACAAGCCTGCTGCTTTAAAAACAATTATATAAGTGCAAGAAGCAGTGGTTTCTTCTTCACTCCCACTGCCTCCCTAGAGATAACTAATGTTAGCAGTTTGGTATGTATTTTTCCTGACGTTGGCCCATACTAATGTTCCATTTTCAGTTTTTTCATGTCATAGTGATGATATAAGTGGTTGTAAGACCAAAGACTCATTTGATAATAAAAAAAAGAGGCATTTATAAGTGAGGAGTTTTGGTTACTTTAGTATTTTGAGAGTTACTTATACTCCTAGTTTTAAAGTTTTGGAAGATAATAAATACAACCAGGGGTATATTGTAACTATACAATCATCATCTGATATTTCTTGATGGTTAGAGATCAAGGACATGATGATTGCCCCCAAAAATCATAAATATCAATTGTGTAAAAAAAGATTCTGATTAGCTTTCTGATTGTATGTATTCTATGTTTCTTATTTTATTTTGTTTTGAGACAGAGTCTCTCTCTGTTGCACAGGCTGGAGTGCAGTGGCATGATCTCAGCTCACTGCAACCTCCGCCTCCCGGGTTCAAGTGATTCTCCTGTCTCAGCCTCCCAAGTAGCTGGGATTACAGGCATATGCCACTATGCCTGGCTAATTTTTTTAATTTTTAGCAAAGATAGAGTTTTGCCATATTGGCCAGGCTGGTCTCAAACTCCTGGTCTCAAGCAGTCCATCTGCCTCAGCCTCGCAAAGTGTTGGGATTACAGGTGTGAGCCACTGCACCCAGCCTGTATTCTATGTTTACAACACTTTGTGTGCATCAGAATGTCCATTTAGATCAAAATCCTTGTCCAGAATATGATTCTTTCTGGGTTGCTATCCAAAGATATATGCTATCTGACCTAGTGCCCTAGATTATATTGACTCTTTTCGAGAGTTACTTTCATGACAGGAAAAATAAACAACATAGGTTAGAACAGGGTTTCTCAATCTCAGCACTATTGACATTCTGGGCAAGATAACTGTTTGTTTAGGCAGTTGTCTTGTGCATTGTGGGATGTTTAGCAACATCCCTGCCCTCTACCCACTACATGCTAGTAGTTCCTTCTAGGGCGACAAGCAAAAATGTCTTCAGACATCTTACCCCTAGTTGAGTGGAGAACAAAGTTAGAAAAAAAAAAGCTTTTTTTTTTTTTTTTTGAGATGGAGTCTTACTCTGTTGCCCAGGCTGGAGTGCAGTGGCGTCATCTTGGCTCACCACAACCTCTGCCTCCCAGGTTCAAGCAATTCTTCTGCCTCAGCCTCCTGAGTAGCTGAGACTACAGGTGCCCACCACCATGCCCGGCTAATTTTTGTATTTTTAGTAGAAACGGTGTTTCACCATGTTGGCCAGGGTGATATCGAACTCCTGACCTCAGGTGATCCACCTGCCTTGGGGTCCCAAAGTGCTGGGATTACAGGTGTGAGCCACTGTGCCCAGCCAACAAAGGGCATTTCAAGGAAATCTCAGTTTGTTTTGACTAATGCAAGGCAGATGCTCATTAACCTTTCTAGGCAAATCCATGCAAGAGGCTTATTAACTTCACAGTCACCAAAACACAAGACCAATTTCGACTTCTTTCTCCTCAGTGGACTCATGTGATAAAACTGTAAGCTGACATTGGTATAAATTCTACTAGTAAGGTAGAGTACCAGGATGTTATTATCAAATTGGCAGGATGGATAAAAGAATAGATACCTGTTATTCTTCTTATCTTGTCCTCTGTATCTCCAGCCAATTTTTCTGCAGCATCTTTTAGCTGTTTAACTTTTCCTAATGTTTCCTTTGTTAGTCCTGTAGTGCTTGTCTTATGCTGGAGCATAGCATATTGTTTTTTCAGCTCAACAAATTCCTGTAACAAGCAACACTCACATCATGAGAAAACATGTATAAAGCAGGTACCTATATGCATGATGATTCTCCTAATACCATTCATAGAAGGAATACAGAGGAAACCTTAATCCAGTCAATACGCTTGAGTCACTCTGATATTTCCAGCAGAGTTTTATTTGCATGTTTGTTTTTTCAGGTTGAAAAAAATCTCATCTTCTATTAAAAATAAAACTTCTTTGTTCAAAATAGCAATTGTTATTGCGTGTTAAGGCAAGTATTTCTGAGGCACCAACTGGTTGTTCTGCACTATGTTAAGGTAGGATGTGGAAGACAGAAATAACCCAATCCCATCCTTGACAAATCTCTGGTTCAGTTCAGTCAATCAGTTGTACATGCAAAATGAAGGACAGAGTGAGTGATGAAGATTTAGAAACAGCAAGGATATGTTATTTGGTTGGCAAAAAGGTGAGAGAGAAATGAGGTAGGAAGGGAGGCAGGTGGGGAAGTAGAAGTGTAGTATGGAGACCTCCCTTGAATAGAATGGAAATCTTTGGGTTAGCTTGTGTGTTGACAACATAGAAGCTTAAGTAGATGAATAAAGGCCAGAGCCAGAAATGAAATATGGAAGTGGGAACAGAGTGAGTAGAAAGTACCTTTCTTGGCTGGGTGTGATTGCTCATGCCTGTAATCCCAGCACTTTAGGAGGCTGAGGCGGGCGGATCACGAGGTCAGGAGATCAAGACCATCCTGGCTAACATAGTGAAACCCTATCTCTACTAAAAATGCAAAAATTAGCTGGGCGTGGTGGTGCGTGGCTGTAATCCCAGTTACTCAGGAGGCTAAGGCAGGAGAATCGCTTGAACCAGGGAGTCAGAGGTTGCAGTGAGCTGAGATTGAGCCACTGCATTCCAGTCTGGTGACAGAGTGAGACTCTGTCTCAAAAAAAAAAAAAAAAAAGAACTTTTCTCAATCTCTGTTCCACAGAAAATGTTCTCAATTCCTCTCAGTGGAAAATTTACCCAGCACGTTAGGAATTAAAAGCAGGAGAATAGACCAATTGTAAAAACACTAACATTTTTCTTTTGTTTAGGCAACTATATTAATGCAACCAACCAAAGATTTCTTGCGAGGAAAATGAGCTGATAGGTTCTTTCAGCAACCTAAATTAATAGTCTACTTTCCACAACCGTTTAATTAACTCATTCTGATTTTTGTAAATTGATGTATTTTCTTTGGCAGGTGACTTTCATTTATTGTTTTCTTTATATGTTGTGTGACTGAATGAGAATAGAGGGCAAATACATGCAATTCAGACAAACCACATAAATTGTGAAAGTTTGGAAGTTCAGGGCAAATTTGATTTATGGACTGTTTGACCAGGACACCACTAAGAGTAATAGGATAGAGAGATGGGGGGTGGCGGGGAACACTCCAACACGATTTGGCCAGGGACTTCTGCCATCTACAGACAGAAGATCCTTTGTGTATCAGGATCCCCTCGAAGATATACCATTGAGTCATGGACCAGCACAAAGGAAACGCTGAGAAATGGCACAAAAATCTGGGGTTAAAGGACTATCTTTCAAAGAAGCTCTGTTTTTCTGCTCTTGGTGGCAGTGGTAGAACTAATGACCTTCTCAAGACTCCCAGCCTGGTGTTGGGCAGATTCAGCCTGAACTTTCACATTGACAGCGTGGTCTTCATGCCTTTGCAACTTGGTCTGCAGCAGGGCAAGTCCATCCTCCAGCCCTGATCGCTGCTTTGCTGACTCCAGCTCATTCTTCATTTCCCTGGTTTGATTTTCAGCCTGTTGTTGATTTAAAGACCAGAAAGGGACAATCTCTTTATGAAACAAACAAGAAGATAAATGATATATTAACCCCTTGAAAAATATGCTGGGTGTAAAGGAAAAGAAAATAGTGCCTTCACTTTTTCTGTTGCATGTATTTAAAATGTTATAATAAAATATTTCAGACATTCAAAAGGGTCTGAGAAATACAACGTTAGCCTAGTGTGGGGTGTGTGCCTGTAGTCCCAGTACTCAGGAGGCTGAGGTAGGAGGATTGCTTGAGCCCAGGAGGTTGAGGGTGCAGTGAGCTATGATTGTGCCACTGCACTCCAGCCTGGGTGACAAAGAGATACCTTGTTTCAACAACAACAACAACAACAACAAATAAAAAATAAAAAATATAACAAATACCCATGTACCCACCAGCCAGTTTAAGAATAGAACACTAACAATGCACTAAGGCCCTCAGCGTACCACTCCCCATTATATCTTCTCTCTCCCCTCAAAGACAACCACTGTCTTGAATCTAATTTTTGTCATTCCATGTATCTCTCTAGGTTTTTTTCTACAACCTATGCAGTATTCCTAACAATATATAGTATTTAAATTTTTTCACCTTATACAAATGTATTGTATATTTCTGCAAGTTGATTTTCTAAAATGAAAAGTTATGAAAATTATGCTTATGTAGGTCATTTAAGCTAATCTACATAGCTCTAGTTCATTCATTTTTACCAGTTTAAAGCATTCCATTGTTTGAACATATAACAATGTATTTTCTATTCTCCAGCTGGTGCAAGTGGCTTCTAATTTTTTCCCCTTACAAACAGTAATAATACTTTATGCCTGTTTCTTACTTCAATGTCTATATTGATCATATCAAATCCTATTTAAATATTTTTCAAATATAGCTGGTTGTTAGCGCTTGTCTCTTGTTTGTTGGTCATACTTTCATATTTTCTTAGATTTTCTTAAACATAGTAAACATTCTTATTTTGTATTCTGTATCCAATAATGGTAATATCATCTGTCTCTTGTGTCCTGATTTTGTTGTTCATTATTTCTGATGACTCTTGTTTAAAGGTAATTTGTGCCTGGGCACAGTGGCTCATGCCTGTATTCCCAGCACTTTGGGAGGCCGAGGCAGGTGGACCACTTGAGGTCAGGAGTTCGAGACCAGCCTGGCCAACATGGTGAAACCTCGTCTTTTCTAAAATTATAAAAATTAGCTGGGCGTGGTAATACGTGCCTGTAATCCCAGCTATTCAGGAGGCTGAGGCAGGAAACTTGCTTGAACCCAGGAGGCGGAGGTTGCAGTGAACCAAGATTGCGTCACTGCACTCCAGCTGAGGCGACAGAGTGAGACTCCATCTCCAAAAAAAAAAAAAAAAAAAAATCTAAAGAGGCAATTTGTATTTACATGTTTGGGGGAAATTCTTGATGGCTAGGTTTTAAGGTCATTCCTTTGGAGGGGATTTTTGTTTGCCTCTGTCAGGCATCTGGGAGTACTACCAACCCAGGGCTACTTCAAATGATACTAGGGTTTTGAGGGCCACCCAGGTAGTGTAAATTCTAGCCTCCAAATTGTATGGGAGCCACAAATTGTGGTTAGCAAATCTTAGTGGAGATGTTACTCCCCCACCCAGGGGCAAGTTTTTCTACTGGCTCTGGCTCTGTGTGTGTGTCTGTGTGTGCGTGTGTGTGTGTGAGAGAGAGAGAGAGAGAGAAAGAGAGACAGAGAGAGACAGAGAGATTTTAACATTTCACTAAGGATTTTGCCATTTGGGGTCCCAGTTCTATGCAAGAATCTTGTTGCCTCCTGTGCGGCCTTTGCTTTCTGTCTTACATATATGGGGACCATTAAAACCCAAAGCTTTAATGCTCCAGGGATTGGCAGATGCCTGCTGCCTGCTGTCAAGTTAGTGCTTGATTACCTCTGAATTCATGCTTTCCTGTCATTTTTGGCCTCTGAGACTATCAAAAGTTTCTTACTAATTCAGCTATGCATTAAAAAATCTAAATAGCCAATCTAATATTTTCATGTGTTTTTTCAACTACCAGGGTTCCTTAGGATATTGGCTCACCATATTTTTAGAAATGAAAGTCCCTTCCTGTACCTTTGGGCATATGTGGTGGTTTGCCTAGAGCAGCAGCCTGCAAACTTTTTCTGTAAAGGGCCAGCTAGTAAATACTTTATACTTTGTGGCCTATAAAGTCTCTATCCCAAATATTTAACTCTCTGTCATTGCAGTGCAAAAGGAGCCATAGACAATACAGCCTGTGGTCATGTTTTGCTATCCCTTGTTCTAAGTATATGCCTAGAAGGGGAAATCCTGGGGCCTTCCTTTTTGCTACCCTATATATGCAACCTCTTCCTATCCAATCCCTTTATTTCCTGGTGTATTACTTCCTGTTCTGTTGCTTTCTGCTTTTCGTTGTTGTTGTTGTTGTTGTTGTTGTTGTTGTTTTTGAGACAGAGTCTCACTCTGTTGCCCAGACTGGAGTGCAGTGGCGCAATCTCAGCTCACCGCAACCTCCGCCCCCGGGAAGAGCGATTCTCCTGCCTCAGCCTTCCAAGTAGCAGGGATTATAGGTGCCCGCCACCATGCCTGGCTAATTTTTGTATGTTTCGTAGAGATGGGGTTTCACCATGTTGGCCCGGCTGGTCTTGAACTCCTGACCTCAAGTGATACACTCGCCTCAGCCTACCAAAGTGCTGGGATTACAGGTGTGAGAAACCATGCCTGGCCAAATGGAGCATTTCTTTTGGATGAGATTTTTTTTTTAGTTTTAGGATACTCTGATGAGATTTCATGCACGTTTAATTACAAGAACCTTACAACAGTGAACTCTCATTTCTTTGGTTTGTGAGCTTTTAAAAAGTCTGTTCCTTTGCCTGGTGTCAGAAGGGAGATGCTCTGACCTCATATCTACCACTAATTAGCTGTGTGACCTTAGGCAATCACCTAACCTTCCCGAGTCTTAGTTTCCTCATTTCCAAGCTGGTGTTAGTACCTGCCTTGGTATAACCCCAGAATTGGTCACAATTAATACGACGATGCTGAGAAGTGCTCTGTAGAACATTAAATACATGCATAATACTACCCAAATCTTATTTTATCCTCATAATAATCCCATCAGACTCGTAAAGCAAGCATAGCATTGGCATACGTAAAAAGTACTGTGATGTTTCTACCCTCAAAACCTATTTCAGGTTAGTTTCAAAGAGGACAAATACCTGCAGCACATTCTTTTTTATTTTTGTTATATTGGCAGTCAGCTGTGTAATGGTAGAGTTTGCCCGTCCATGAGTGATTTGAGCTTGTTGCAACTGGTTCAATGTTTTGTCAAGATTTAATAGAACATTTGCTGCTTTCCTAAGGTAAGATATTAACACATCAGATTAGATAAACACATAATTATTCACTTATTTCACCTTGAGAGAGTTCATTTGACTCAACCAAATACTTTACTGAATTATTAAGCAAATTTAAATTACTCTTAAACAAGAGAAAGTGCTGAAGTCTTCATTTTGAGAAATAGGTATATTTAAATGCCAACAAAAGAAAACCCACACACGTATATATTCATAGCCAGTAGACACAGATTTTGTTAAATATGGAAATTAAGGATACAGGTCTTGTTTCTTTTGATTTGTCATAAGCAGAGAGATTTGGGGTGATGTAACTATCAATCTTTGCACATAAAAACTATCCTGTGAATTCTAGTTTCCCTGATGTCTTAAATGTGAGCTACACTTTCTCAGTCTCTATTGGAGTGGGGGTTGGGAGGGTCAAGAGGCCCCACAGAGAGCAAAGAGAGGACTACAGGCCCTGCATTTTCAGGCTTGTTTATTCAGAGTTAGCTAAGCTTCACTGACATTCCAGCCACTAAGAAGTCCAGTCAGAGGTTAAAATCACAAGCATTTCAAGTGATATAGTCTTTCTGCAGAAAGGAACTCACCTCAAGTCAACAATCACCAAATACTTAGACCTGTGGGCTCAAAACCACCTTGAGAAGAATGTACTGAGGGAGTGAAATAACAGATAGACCTTTGATCATTAGAAATGTGTGTGCCCACAGTAGAGTTAGCTAAATTGCAAAATATTCCCTTTATCACCCAGCTCATCCTTTCCTCCCAGTGGCAATCTGTTTCCCTTTCTAAACTTCAGGAGCCTTCCCTCCTCATCATCTCACTGTCACCAGCATTTCATTTTTGTAATATTCCTAGGGTACCGGTGTCCATTTTTTCTATTCCCTGCCACCATTATCTTTTTATTATATTCTTTTTTTCCTTTAGATTTTTAATTTACTACTGCAGGCCAGGCATGGTGGCTCATGCCTGTAATCTCAGCACCTTGGGAGGCTGAGGCAGGTACATTGCTTGAAGCCAGGACTTTGAGACTAGCCTGGACAATATAGTGAAACCCCATCTCTACTAAAAATACAAAAAATTAGTTGGGTGTGGTGGTGCATGCCTATAATCCCAGCTACTCGGGAGGCTGAGGCATAAGAATCACTTGAATTCGGGAGGTGGAGGTTGCAGTGAGCTGAGATCGTGCCACAGAACTAAAGCCTGGATGACAGATTGAGACCCTGTCTCAAAAGGAAAAAAAAAAAAAAAGAAAAAGATTTTCAGTGTACTGCTTATTATAGCAAATTTAGAAAATACCCAAAAAAGAAAAACAAAATGTAAGAAGGGGAAAAAAGCCAGTAATCTTGCCGTCTTTTAAAATGTTAGGATATTGTAGCAAAATTTTTTTATTTTCATAATTCAGATCCTCTTTCATGTATAAATTGTTACCTGATTTTTTTTTCAACTTCCTGTTCAGTTTGGATGTTATCTGCTTTTTACAAAGCACTACCATTGAACTATAAGAATCTCTACCTGTTTTTTAAACATCTTTTATCACCTTTTTTTATTTTTTGAGATGGCGTCTCGTTCTTGTCACCCAGGCTAGAGTGCAATGGTGCGATCTCAGCTCACTGCAGCCTCTGCCTCCCAGGTTCAAGTCCAAGCAATTCTCTGCCTCAGCCTTCCGAGTAGCTGGGATTACAGGCTCATGCCACCACACTGACTAATTTTTGTATTTTTAGTAGAGACAGGGTTTCGCCATGTTGGCCAGGCTGGTCTCTAACTCCTAGCCTCAAGTGATCCACCTGCCTCGGCCTCCCAAAGTGCTGGGATTACAGTCCTGAGCCACTTCACCCAACCCATCAGTATCACTTTTAATTGCTGTGTGACTACTTGATTTTTTTTTTTTTTTTTTTTTGAGACAGAGTTTTGCTCTTGTTGCCCAGGCTGGAGTGCAATGGCGCCATCTCCGCTCACTGCAACCTCCGCCTCCCCAGTTCAAGCGATTCTCCTCCTCAGCCTCCCAAGTAGTTAAGATTACAGGCATGCGCCACCATGCTCAGCTAATTTTGTATTTTTAGTAGAGACAGGGTTTCTCCATGTTGGTCAGGCTGGTCTTGAACTCCCGATCTCAAGTGATCAGCCCGCCTTGGCCTCCCAAAGTGCTGGGATTACAGGCGTGAGCCACCGTGCCCGGCCTACTTAATCCTTAAGTAATTGCTATGCAGTTAATCTTCCTGGTTTTAAATATTAAACCTGGAAGGAGTTGGACTTTTGGATGAATCTGGTGCACTTCGTTTGTACATGTGGATGATGAGACAGTGACAATGGGTCAGATCTCAGTGATGGGGGGTGCTGAGATGGCCACCACCTAACTGATCCTGTAACACTGACCCACAGCACCCCATGCTCATAAAAACATCAACATGACTTTTTTTTTTTTTTTTTGGTTGGCTAAGTCAATAGGACAAAAGGCAAGAGTTAGTTAATTCTGTCTAGCATAGATATCATTTTCATCTTGCAGTATTCCTGGAACTCTAGTGTCCATTTCTTCTGTTCCCCATCATTACATTGGGTTGGTGCAAAAGTAATTGCGGTTTTGGCCATTACTTTCAATGGCAAAATCTGCAATTACTTTTGCAACAACTTAATATCTTTGTACTCAGAATGTACTGAGGGTGTGAACTATCAGACTTCTTAAAAAGATTTTGATTTCAAAGTACTGCTTAGTAGAAAATGCCAAATATAAATAAGGGAAAAACTATACCAATATTCCAACCACCTGTTAAAATATTGGCATATAATGAGTATTTAACATTTATTGGTATAAAAAGGTATCAGGCCACTGGAAAGGCATTTTGAGTCTAAGAAAATAGGAAGGAAGCATCCCTGAACCCTGTCGCCCAGTCACCCAGCTTCCTGGGGTATCTCCAAAGAGAGCTCAGCCCTCAACTTGGACACTGAACTCTCAGAAGGTAATTTCATTTGAATGCTATAGCTCCCTAAGCGAATATTTCCCAGATGTCCTTTCAGCAGATGGTCTGTTAGAGCAAGGTAAGAATATTAATACAGTACTTACTCAGCTGCTTTAGCCTTCACCAGAAGCTTTTGGGCTCCATCTGCTTCTTCACTTAGCCTGTTTTCATCTGACCTGTAATCCTTACAGAGTTGCATAAGTTTCTGTATTTTGTTAACTTCATCCGTTAGATTTTGGGATGGAATTGGTAGGTGAATGTCAAGTACACCATTTGCAACCTTCTCGATGTCTTCTGGAGGCACGTTTTCCTCTTAAATAAGAAGGAGGGTTTTAGGTAATCATGTCTCCTTAACAAATACTGTATCTTAAAAGTATAACCACAATGATGTCTCAGCCAACTGCACTAGGATTTGATTATGTGTTCCTAGAATACAGGGATTAGATTGTAGGTGTCCCATAGATTCTTCTTCATCCTCAGCTGTCCCTTGTCTCTGGAAGAAACACTGCTGGCTGAGTGCTGAATACTTGCTGAACAAGTGCTTGCTGGAAAAACAAAATACTACAGATTTGGAACATTGTGTGTATTCTACAAAATGCCCTGAGAATGATTTATTTTAAGTACACACTCAAAAGCAATTAACATGTTTAGATACCTGTCATGAAAATTCAAGCACAGTGAATGAGACATTGGAGAAGCACTGCGTTTGAACTCAACAAAACTGGATTCTGGTCCTCCATGACATTAAAAAGGCTCATGATTTTTGGTCATCTATGTAATTGGGTAATTGTACCTGATACTAGACTCAAAGGCCTATTCTGGGATTGGAGTGAGACAATACAGAGTAAAGGAACATGTTAATAGCATGCTATAAACTTTTTTTTTTCTTTTTTGAGACAGAATCTCACTCTGTTGCCAGGCTGGAGTGCAGTGGTGGCGCAATCTTGGCTCACTGCAACCTCTGGTTCAAGTGATTCTCCTGCCTCAGCCTCCTGAGTAGCTGGGATTACAGGTACGCACAACCATGCCCAGCTAATTTTTTTGTATTTTTAGTACAAAATAGTTGTACTAAACTATTTAGTTGGCCAGGATGGTCTTGATCTCCTGACCTCATGATCTGCTCGCCTTGGCCTTCCAAAGTGCTGGGATTATAGGTGTGAGCCGCTGTGCCCCACCAAAGAAACTTTCAAATACATCCATGCTCTACTTTCCAGAAAAGTAAATTTGGCCCCTATTGAGAACTAAAGTGGAAGATGAACTGTTAGAGCAAGCTTGTTTGACCCACAGCCCGGGGCCCACATGTGGCCCAGGACGGTTTTGAATTTGGCCCAACACAAATTCGTAAACTTTCTTAAAACATTATGAGATTTTTTTGTGTGTGATTTTATTTTTATTTTTAGCTCATCAGCCATTGTTAGTGTTAGTGTATTTTATGTGTGGCTCAAGACAATTCTTCCTCTTCTAGGGTGGCCCAGGGAAGCCAAAAGATTGGATACCCCTGTGTTACAGCAAAGCCATTTGTCACTCTCCAGCTACTTACTGAACATCTACAATTCCTATAGGGAAGCTAGAGATGAACTAGACGTGGATCTAATCCTCAGGGGGCTTGCCGTCAGGTGAGGGCCTATAAGTCATTATATACAAATATTGATCACATAGGAACAGAAGTGATCAATATAAGGCAAAACGCTATGGGGTTCAGAGGAAGGGGAAAATAATCCAGGAAGGACTTCAGGTGCATTGAAACTGCGCCTGGGAGGACAGCAGGTTAAACTTGTGGAGACTGTGGGATGTGGGGAGGGGTAAGAGATATTCTAAACTGAGAGAATTACAGGAGCTAAAGCTCATGGTGGTACAAGAAACAGTGCATGGATCACTCTTGGCAGGAGAGTAGTGTGCTTAGAAGGGCTGGGAGCAGATGGCACAAGTCCCTGTCAGAGGCTGAGGAACTTAGACTTTATTCAGAGAACAGTGGGAGCCAAAAATGATTTTCAGCATTTGAGTGACATGACATGAGTATATATTCTGCTTGTAGTCATTTTGCTTTAGCTATTTTTCTTAACATAAATGAAATATTTTACTTTCTGTAATATTTTTGAAGCAATGTGACAAGAATTTTTTTGTGAGTAAAGTAAAATGACATTTTAAATAAAATCAGGGAGTTGGCTCTTTAAAGAAACATACTTTTTCTTTTTCTGTTTTTTTCTTTTTTTGAGATGGTATCTTGCTGTATCGCCCAGGCTGGAGTGCAGTGGCATGATCTCGGCTCAATGCAACCTCCGCCTCCCGGGTTCAAGTGATTCTCCAGTCTCAGCCTCCCGAGTAGCTGGGGTCACAGGCATGCACCACCACATCCAGCTGATTTTTATATTTTTAGTAGAGACAGCATTTTGCCATGTTGGCCAAGCTTGTCTCAAACTCCTGACCTCAGGTGATCCACCTGCCTCGGCCTCCCAAAGTGCTGGGATTACAGGTGTGAGGCACCATGCCCAGCCAGAAACAGCAGCTTTTTAATTTAAAAAGTTCTAGTACATCATACTGAATGGGCAAAAGCTGAAGCATTCTTCCTGAAAACCAGCACAAGACAAGGATGCCCTCTCTCACCACTCCTGTTCAACATAGTGTTGGAAGTCCTGGCCAGAGCAATCAGGCAAAAGAACGAATAAAGCATACCCAAATAGGAAGAGAGGAAGTCAAACTATCCCTGTTTGCAGATAGCATGATCTCATATCTAGAAAACCCTGTAGCCTTGGCCCAAAAGCTCCTTAAGCTGATAACTTCAGTGAGGTCTCAGGATACAAAATCAATGCAGAAAAATCACTAGCATTCTGATACATCAACAACAGTCAAGCCAAGAGCCAAACCAGGAAGGCAATCTCATTCACAGCTGCCACAAAAAGAGTAAAATACCTAAGAATACAGCTAACCAGGGAGGTGAAAGATCTCTACAGGGAGAACTACAAAACACTGCTCAGAGAATCCACAGGTGACTCAAACAAATGGAAAAAGATTCCATGCTCATAGGTGGGAAGAATCAATATCATTAAAATGGCTATACTGCCCAAACAATGTGCAGATTCAAGGTTATTCTTATCAAACTACCAATGACATTCTTCACAGAACTAGAAAATATATTTTAAAGTTCATATGGAACAAAAAAAGAGCCTGACTAGCCAAGGCAATCCTAAGCAAAATGAACATAGCTAGAGGCATCATGCTATCTGACTTCAAGCTATAATACAGGGCTGCAGTAACCAAAACAGCATGGTGCTGGTACAAGAAAACAGACATATAGACCAATGGAACTGAAAAGAGAGTCCGGAAATAAGACCACACACTTAGAACTATCTGATCTTTGACAAGGTCAACAAAACCAAGAAATGGGAAAAAGACTCCCTCTTCAATAAATGGTGTGGGATAACTGGCTAGCCATATGCAGAACACTGAAACTGGACCTCCTCCTTACATCTTATATGAAAATTAACTCAAGATGGATTAAAGACTTAAAGGTAAAACCCAAAACTATAAAAAACCTTGGAAGGCAACCTAGACAATATTATTCAGGACACAGGCATGGGCAAAGATTTCATGATAAAGATGCCAAAAGCGACTACAACAAAAGCAAAACCTGAGAAATGGAATATAATTAAAGAGCTTCTGCACAGCAAAAGAAACTGTCAACAGAGTAAACACAACCTACAGAATGGGTGAAAATTTTTGCAAACTATGCATCTGAAAAAGGTCTAATATACAGCATCTATAAAGAACTTAAATCTACAAGAAAAAAACAACCCCCTTAAAAAGTGGGCAAAGGACATAAACAGATACTTTTCAAAAGAAGACATGCATGGGGCCAACAAGTATATTAAAAAAAGCTCAACATCACTGATCATTAGAGAAACGCAAATCAAAACCACAATGAGGTACCACCTCACACCAGTCTGAATGGTGATTATTAAAAAGTCAAAAAATAACAGATGCTGATGAGATTGCAGAGAGAAAGAAACACTTATACACTGTTGGTGGGGGTGTAAATTAGTTCAATCATTGCGGAAAACAGTGTGGCGATTCCTCAAAGACCTAAAAAAAGAATTACAAGCCGACCAAGGAATCTCATTACCGGGTATATACCCAAAGGATTAGACATCATTCTATCATAAAGACACACTCACATGCATGTTCATTGCAGCATTATTCACAGGAGCAAAGACATGGAATCAATCTATATGCCCATTAATGATAGACTGGATAAAGAAAATGTGGTACATATACACCGTGGATACTATGCAGACGTAAAAAAGAATGAGATCGTGTACTTTGTCAGAACATGGATAGAGCTGGAGGCCATTATCCTTAGCAAACTAACACAGGAGCAGAAAACCAAATACCGCATGTTCTCACTTATAAATGGGAGCTAAATGATGAGAACACGTGGACACATAGATGGGAACAACACACACTGGGACCCTTTAGAAGGTGGAGAGGAAGGAGAGGATCTGGAGAAATAACTAATGAGTACTAAGCTTAATACCTGGATGACGAAATAATCTGTACAACAAACCCTTGTGACTTGAGTTTACAAACCTGCATATATACCCCTGAACTTAAAGGTTAAAAAAAAAAGTTAGAATGAAAAGTGAATTTACTTCAATCACTTATTCATTTATCAAATAGTTATTCATATTTATTATGAGGTTATAGATTCAAATTTTTATATATACAACTTTCAGGAGAAGTGATACATCTCTTTGTTAATAAGGCATTCAGATTTCAAGAAAAATATTGAGGTGGTCAAAGAAGAGCTGAATAGTATGGTAATCATGTAATGTAATGATAATTTTATTGGGGCTTTATAGCCAGGCAAAGAAGAGAAGCAAGAGGTGGGTAGAGGGCACTGCAAGGCATGAAAGCTTCCTGGTCACCAGCTCTAGGGACACTGAGCAGTAAGAAGTTTCTTGTATGAAAAAAGATTTTTCTCTATGCCTAGTTGTAATAATAGTTCTTTATGCCTTTAGTTTTAATAATCTGGACATAGATTTCTTTCAATTCCTCAAGTTAATTAAAGTAAAATATTTATTAGAAATGTATTCAGTAGCAATGAAGAGTAATAAGAGGACTGGCTCTATGACCCAGCAAACTAGGTAGAAAGGAGGTCATGCAGACCCTGTTCCACCAGTTCATGCGATTAGTTTAGCAACTTTGATTTTGATGTTTGTTTTGGTGCCTTTTCAGTCCAGCCTAATCCTAGACCTGAGTCCAGTCAATACTGATTCATCCAGCTAAATCATTGAAAGTTTGCTTTTGAATAAAAAAATGCCCAGTAGACGGATTCTACCCCATTTGTTTTTACTATTTTTGTCAAAGGTAATTTCCGCCTAATTTTTGTTTATCTTGAAAATAACAGCTAGAAACTGCCAATACAATTTCTAGAAATATTGAGATAGGAAAAATCAAAAAACAAAAAATCTTGGCCATAGGGGTCTCTCACACCTATTAAGTAGAATAATGAAGTGATTAAAGAGATTTTAATGGATGCTGCAATTGCCAATTCATGTATAAAATGTTAAATTATTGAATTTGGAAAATGGTTATGGAAAATAAAGCCTCTTCAGATTAATCATATATATCTGTGTGTGTGTGTATGTGTGTGTGTATGTGTGTGTGTAGAGAGAGAGAGTAAGGTTTCAGGTCAATTTCCAGCTTCAGTACTTGATTTTTTAATCTTTACTAATTCTCTGGAGTTTAAAATGAGCCTCTCCCAAAGTAAGGCATAATGTACAATAAATCAGCTACTTTTGGTCAGCCACAGAGAACCAACAAAAGAAGACCTGGAAAATAGTCAATAATAGCTAATAATCAAATTTTTAGATGCCAACTCACTATGATATTTGATATCTAATGAAAATTCAGCATATCTTGATCTCATATGATTTCTGTCAGCAAAGAAAATTACCGAATCCTGATGTTAGGGAATCTGATAGAATTGTCATGTTGAACTTTCCTTTAAAAAAAAACATAAAATAACTTTAAACACAAAGTTCATGTGTTTGGAATTTGAACTAAATTCTACCATTTGTTACCACATTTATCTTTTACAGAAAGCTGTAATGTTTTGGCACAGAGTTGGTATTTTGAGATTATTCTCATTAAGGAATTAAAAACCAAAGCGTATATCATTTTTCCGATTTAGGCTTGTCATTTCCAATTAATGTAATTAGGAACTGGCTATGATGTTTGACTATATATTAAAAAAGGGAAAAAAACAAAAACTAGTCCTAATATATTTTTTAAAATTACCTAACAAAAAGTTTTTCACTTTTTTGATGAAAAGATTGAGTTTTTCTTCTTCAGAGTCACTTTGGTTTCTTGTATTTCCCAGTTTTTCCCTTAGCTGTAAGGCATTGTTTTTGGAGACTTCTGCCAGTTTACTTATATTTTTGATCTGGAATGAGAAAAACACAGTGAAGAAAATACTCAACAAAGGCATGTTCTTTGATGTTTAATTATTTAGCTGGACCAAATAAAACTGTCACTAAAAACTAAATAAAAGTCTAGATAAACCATAGATGCATTTGCAAGGAATCTTTTACAAGGTGATTATTATCTCTTCTCATTATTATGTTTTCTTAATATCATTCATTTATCTTTTAGAACATTATGGACCTAGTGCTAATGAATTTTTCTAATATAAGTCTAAAACACAAATTTTGTTTTAATGGGGCTTTAGCATTCTTTAATACCAACTTTCACAGAAATTACATAGGACTACTTACCTGCAGTGGTCATCATGTTTAATAGGTTGAGAGCATTTTCTTTTATGTAAGTTAAAATGTTACTCTTCTAAACATTCCTCAAATTCAAGTAATGTACTTTCTTTGAAAACTAACAAAAAAGCATTCCTCCTCTTAATAAATGAGCTTGAACTGAGAGTGGGCTACAAAGATAAATTCCAGACACTTTGTACTCTTGGTAGAGGAATGATAGGAATAATAGGCTAGCAAACTAGAAGTGCAAATTCTCAACTGTGTGATCTGAGAAAGGTCATGGACTTTTTCTAGGGATTCCAACAAATTAGAGAGAGACAAAAAACCCAGAAGCAACAGGACAATATTGCCAACAAGCTGAGCTTTATTGAATAAATTAATTGTGACAGAAGTAGGGCTAATTAGGATCAAACATAATTATGAAAAAAAAAAAAATCCACTGGGCACGGTGGCTCACGCCTGTAATCCCCAGCACTTTGGGAGGCCAAGGCAGACAGATCACTTAAGGTTAGGAGTTTGAGGCCAGCCTGGCCAACATGGTGAAACCCCATCTCTACTAAAATTACCAAAATTAGCCAGGCATGGTGGCGCATGCCTGTAATCCCAGCTACTGGGGAGGCTGAGGCAGGAGAATCGCTTGAATCCAGGAGGCAGAGGTTGCAGTGAGCCGAGATCGTGCCACTGTACTCCAGCCTGGGCCAGACAGAGTGAGATTCTTGTCTCAGAAAAAAAAAGAAAAGAAAAGAAAAGAAAAATATTCCCTTTATTTCCCCACAAAAGGAGCCTGCTTAATTTGAGCCAAACAGATTTTTAAGAGAAAGATTTAAATTCTAGTCATTGGCAAATGATAAAACAAAAAAGTATTTACATGATTAAAAATGTGTATCTTTTTTTTCAGAGTTGATACTTAATTCTCTAGAACTTTCTTAGCTTTAAAATGGATAGCAGTAAGAATGGATTGCAGTAAAATGAGAATTCCAGAAATAAAATACCCTAGGCGCTAGCAAAGCACCAAGTGATACAGAGGAAATCTCGGCGTAGATTAGTTGATACCATATTCAGAAAGAAAGAGATCATGAAATTACTTCACTCTTAAAACATCCCTCTGCAATCCATCTTCTGTCACAACTGACTCCTGAGAATTCTCTCACAATCTCTTCTGGCACTCCCTCCTTCTAATCAAGAGGAAAATAGCACACAATTTTATCAACATGACATCCCCTCTCATCGCTTTCCAATTCTCCATTTATGTGCTGATTAAACTAGATTCTGCTAATATGGATTTCAAGGATAATTTTTTTAACACTGATAGCTTAACATATTATTGACTTAATGATATGATCAAGTGGCAAATGAGGGTGAGATTTCTATTTTTTTGAGAATTAGCAATATAATAGTTTAAAATTACATTAAACAATTAAGGAGTGTTTTAAGCACTGGGACATAAGACCAGGATTTACATTGCTATGTTTGCTGCTGTATTCTCAACTTGTAGGTGGATGCCTGGCACATAGTAGGTGGATATTTGTTAAAGCAATGAAGAACCACGTGTGAATAGAAAATGATGTGACAATACAGAATTGTGACTATGTAAGTAAAGTTTCAATATTTATGTAGGGATATGTTCTAGATTGGCTAATCAGATGCTTGCTCAAGGATATAGGGGGTCTGTGTGTGTGTGTGTGTATATGTGTGTGTGTGTATATATATATATATATATATCTTGGCTGTGGTTCTCACCCCATTCCCAAGCTTGGACCTCTATCCTTTACTCAATTTTGAGACCCAGATGTCCTTACATATGTTTCCTTTTTGTTCAGGAGTTGGGTTTTTTTTTTTGTTTTTGTTTTAGACAGGGTCTTACTGTTGTCGGCGCAGGCTGGAGTGCAATGGCGTGATCTCAGCTCACTAGATCAGTAACCTCTGCCTCCTAGGTCCCAGTAATTCTCCTGCCTCAGCCTCACGAGTAGCTGGGATTACAGGCATGCACCACCACACCCGGCTAATTTTTTTTCTTTTTTCTTTTTTTTTGTATTTTTTGTAGAGATAGGGTTTCACCATGTTGACCAGGATGGTCTCGAACTCCTGACCTCAGGTGATCCACCTGCGTCAGCCTCCCAAAGTGCTGGGATTACAAGCGTGAGCCACTGCGCCTGGCCAGGAGTGGGCTTTTTTTTGCTTGCAAACAAGAATGCTTACTGATACAATATTTAACATATAGTGGTAAAAATTTCAGCTCTTTAAAAGCTTTTTCTTCCTTGTCAGAGGCTCTTTGCATATTGTCAGAAAAGAAACAGATTGGGGAGCACACCACTACCTTGTTTTCAAACCAGAGAATAAAATGCATTCTCACAAAAAAGTCTAAAGAAAACTAGGTAATTAAAAATGATGCTCATTTATAAATATGACCAGAAAAGTAAATGAAATCATTTCAAATTATTATAGATTTAATTATAAGGTACTTAAATGTTAAAACAACTTTCTCAGTCTATCAACAGGGGAATGAGTTCAAGGCACAGTTTAATTCCTATTAAGCTATTTTCTAACATTAAATTCTAACATTACAATGTGTATATTTAGTAGGATTTCATATATACCCTTATATATTTATGAATTTACAAAAAATTATTCTTTGAGAGATCTATAGTTTTCAACCCTTTTAAAAATTTAATTATTTAAATACTTCTTTTATTATTATAATTATAATTATTATTATTTTATAAAATAGAGATGGGGTCTCCCTATGTTTCCCAGGCAGGTCTTGAACCCCTGGGCTCAAGGAATCCTCCTGCCTTGGCCTCCCAAAGTGCTAGGATTATAGGCGTGACCTATACTCCTGGCCTGTTTTCAAATTTTTAAGGCTTGGAGTCCTGACATTTCTATGTAGTTTTTGCTGTAAACAAACATGTCCACACCAGTCTATGACCTATGATAATGTACCTTGAATTCTTTCTCTCTCTTTACACACACACACATACATACTTGACCTTCGAATGACACAGGTTGGAACTGCACACCCCCACTTATGTACAAATTATTTTCAATAAAACTTACATTGAGTGTGCCTACCTCTTCTGCCTCCCCTTCCACCTCCTCCACCTCAAACCATCTCTGAGACAGCAAGACAAACCCCTCTTCTTCCTCCTCCTCAGCCTACTCAATATGAAGATGATGATGAAGACCTTAATGATGATCTGTTTCCTCTCAATGAATAGTAAGTATATTTTCTCTTCCTTATGATTTTTCTGATAATATTCTCTTTTCTCTAGCTTACTTTATGGTTACATTATGGTATATAATACATACATAAATATATATTATTGACTATTTAGGTTATGGGTAAGGTTTACCAGTCAACAGTGGGCTATTAGCAGTTAAATTTTGGGGTAGTCAAAAGTTATACATAAATTTTCAGTTGTGGAGTGGAAGCCTGGTGTCCCTAATCCCCATGTTGTTCAAGGGTCAACTGTATACATATATATAATCAGAAAATATCAATATTCATCTCTATTTCTAAATCTACATTCACATCATCTACAATTTTATCCCATATTTCCAGGCAAAAGAACACCAACTATCTAGAATCTATCTTCTCACTTGGAAGTTATATGGCAGTTTTATAAATTTCAAGCAGTCTGCTTCTTTATTGCTATAACTTTACAAATAAAGCAAGAGAAGGTATTTACCTGATTCTTCAACCCATGAACCTGTTTGTCTAAATTACGAATAACAGATTTTGCTTCCTGGGCTTTTTGGAGGGCATTCGTTGAGAGGGTCAGGGAGCCATGACAGCCGGCACCCCCACACTTCCTGTGCCCTTCCTGGCCCATGCAGACAGCACCGCCACAGGGCAAGGGCACAACACATGGCACATTTCCTGGATCTCCACACACCTTGCAAGAGAAACGATTTACATTAAATAGCAACTTGTTGTCAGCTTTTTTTTCTTTGTTTGTTTTGAGACGGAGTTTTGCTCTTGTTGCCTAGACTGGAGTGCAATAGTGTGACCTTGGCTCACTGCAACGTTCATCTCCTGGGTTCAAGAGATTCTCCTGCCTCAGCCTCCCAAGTAGCTGGGATTACAGGTGCCCACTACCACGCCTGGCTAATTTTTTGTATTTTTATTAGAGACGGGGTTTCACCAGTTTGGTCAGGCTGGTCTCAAACTCCTGACCTCAGATGATCTGCCCACCTCGGTTTCCTAGAGTGCTGAGAATACAGGCATGAACCACCATGCCTGGCCGTCAGAGCTGTAATGCCATCCAGGCTCATTGAGTGAAGGCATTGCTTTATTCATATATTTCTTCAATAGTTGTTCATCCTTGGTACATGGGGGTAACCCATTACACATTAAACATTTCCTAGGTAACTAAACATCTAAATTACTTATCAGTATTGTGTCAGTCTGTCATCCTTTATATTTATAGTTTTCTGAGAAAATAGTCAAACTTTTAGGAATTACACGTGAGTTTAACTTTTTAAAAAATATTTATTTATTTGTTGAGACAGAGTCTTGCTCTCTCACCCAGGCTGGAGTACAAAGGCACCATCTCCGCTCACTGCAACCTCCACCTGCCAGGTTCAAGCGATTCTCCTGCCTCAACCTCCTGAGCAGCTGAGATTACAGGTGCACACCACTACCCCCAGCTAATTTTTGTGTTTTTTGTAGAGAGGGGGTTTCACCATGTTGGCCAGGCTGGTCTCGAACTCCTGGCCTTAAGTAATCTGCCTGCCTCGGCCTCCCAAAGTGCTGGGATTACAGGCATGAGCCACCATGCCCAGCCTGCACTTTTTATTCTTTTGAGAGAATTAGCCTTTTTCTTATAATGAAGCAAGAGGAGCAAATGTTCATAGCCTGTACTGTTTTAGAAATAGTAAATAATATCAAATAATCAAATCAAGCCATAATCTTTACTCTTTGATCAATTCTTGAGTTAAATAAAAATAAGGCTTTTTACAGTATATAATAAAATATATATTTTATATACATACATATAATTATATATTTATAATATATAATGAAAAGAAATTTAGAATGTAAGCTAGGGAAATATCATTGAAGAGGTTCGTATATCAAGTAAAAACCACAAATGCTTTGACCTTACCATCATGAATATTTACCTTTTCATTCAATATTTGGATATCTGGTATCTTAATCTGCTTTAATTTTTCCAATGACAAGTTTCCTTTGGAGGTTAATGTATTTAAGATGGTAAGAAAGTCATTCCTGGTATTTGCAGAGGTATTAATGGTAGAACTAGTTTCATTAATTTTCTTTTCAGCAGATGATGATATGTGATAATATTTCTTGATGTTTTCTGAGGAGTCTATGTCAATGCAAATTGAAGGTAAGTTTTGTGAAAACAAATGAAATTACATATCAGTTATTAAGATAATCATTCTATAATTTGGCTACTGTCTTGGTCTCAACTGTCACTATAAAATTTCAGCATCTTCCTTGAATTTGCATTTGATGGGGGAAGGATTAGCTATAGTATAATAGATATGGATAGAATAGATACATGGCATTGAGATTTAAGTCCACAGATGTGGTGTGAGTCCTGCCTTCACCCTTTACTGCCTGGACATACCCTTGAGCAAATCAGTTCATCTCTTATATTTCGTTTCTTCCTCTGTAAATTGGTGATAATAATTTGTGAGAATTGAGATAATATGAATATATTCTGTAAATATTTCCACAAATAAAAGGTCTTAACTATGAATACCTATATACACTCAAATATAATAAACCAACTAAATTTACTTAACCCTATAGAGCAGGAGTTGACAAACTTTTTCTCCAAAGGCCAAATAATTAATGTTTTAGGCTTTGCTGGCCAAAGCATTTCTGTTCCGACTACTCACCTCTGCCATTGTAGAGTGAAAGCAGCTACAGGCAATATGTAAATAAACAGGTGAGGTTGTGTTCTACTGAAGTAGTATTTACAAAGACAGGCTGTGGGCAGGATTCGCCCTGATGCTGCGGTTTCCTGAACCCTGATGTTGAGGCTGATAACAATAGCTAACAACAGTTAGCTGGGTGCTTTGTAGGTGCCTGTACTATACTTCCCATCAATTTTCTTCTTCAATCTTCACAAAACAGTGTGAAATGCACATTAGTATGATCATCTTCATTTTACAAATAAGGAAACTGAGGCTCTATTGAGGAAAGTTATTTGCCTAAGTTCTCATTGATAGTAAGAGATGAAACCAGGATGTCAATCCAGGGTGTTTGACTTTAGAGCCTGTGTTCTTAAGCACTTCTCTACATTTCCTATGTTTGCATTATTAATACAAATTTGTGAAAGTAATAAGGTGTGTATGATATATTTTATTGTAAATTATAGTATATTAGGGGTTTAAACTATAACTCCATATTTTAGGAACCAGAGGCCTATGGTCCTGATCTGATCTTTACTCCCTGTAGAACCATAATCCAGGCAGGAGACAACCATACCTTATCTTTCAAACTTTTCTGGTTCTTATAAGACCATACTCTTAATATATCATGTTTTTCACTTATCATGAAAAAAAAGTTCCTATTACTCAGAATTCGTTTATTCTTTCATTTTTATGAAAGATTTTCTCCTACCTGTGGAGATAATTCAATTGCCAACTATTCCCTGAAGGCTTTACTAATGAACCCAGGAAGAATTTCGTTTTTGCTACTCTGTTTTTGAAGCAGCTTTAAGATGGTCTAACAGTCTTAATGCTGTTTGGGGTGGCTTATATTCTTGTCCCCTGCCCCCATTAGATAGAAATAACTCAAAGGTAGGGACTTACTGTAATGATCTGCCTGTTTCTACTGCGCAATGTCAGGCATTGGAAAAAAGCCCAGTAACTGCTGTTGGACTGCAAGTTTGAGAGGATTAGCATGGGGGCAGTTTCACCTTATTTTACCTGGCGACAGGTGACCACTGATGGATTTTGAGTTCTTTTAGTGGGAACTGTCTTCTAGATTAGGAATCAGAATAGATTCCTTACTCATTACATGGCATTTATTAAACAGCATCAATACATCTTTGCTAGAATTTATTTCACTAAATTTAGGCATTCCTTTAGGGAAATTAGGTGTTCCTAACTGCCTTCTATTTTTTTTCTCTTCTAGGTCAAAATCAGATAAAACACAGGAGTATATACATAGGATAATGAAAGCAGTCAAAGTTTTTTCCTGACATGGATTCATGTATATTTGCCTCTCAGCTGGATGTCTTAGGTGTGAATAAACTCAGGGATGCTTCTCTCAGTAGTAACAGGTTGTCCATTTCCAAATATAACAGGGGTATCATCTTGAATAGGAGATGAGCTAATCAAAGTTTTGCTTTAGAGTTCCATTTCTCCTGCAGATTATCTTGGCTTAGGTATAGCTCACATTCAGTTTTAAGAACTATGCAATATGAGTTAAGGGCTTGTACTATGTTGCATGACTCCCACCCTTACAAAGCTCTATGAGAAATGTTGTGGATTTTGTTTTGTTTTGTTTTGTTTTGCCTCATATTCCTTTGCATTTATGGTTACTGAAAATGGAGTGGCCTATACCAAGAAAGGCATATAAACATGTCTCTCTCATTTGTTTATGGCCATATTAGATTTTCTAAGTTGTTGATTACTTAAGACCCCTTACATGGGTTTGGCACTAGATTACTTTGGGTGTTAGCATTTGTTTAATATCAGATATTGTTTACTTGTTATTTTTGAGTGAATGCTATCCAGGCTCTGTGATGTTTAAAAAGTTGAAATATCCATGAACAAATAATACCTTTAATGGTTGTGTTTGCATGTTCTGAAGTGCTCAGGCACTATGGTGGTAAGCACAGGATGACTCACTAATGGAATGCACTATGGATTTCATCAAACATTGTGTAGACACAGTCAAAAATGCATTTTTTCCTTACCCACGATGCTTGCATTAAGGACACTGAATTGCAAATCAATTTCTTTCTGAAGATCTTCAAGTAAGAGGTCTGCTTCATTCTTTGCTCTTTCTATTGTATGTTTCAGATCTTGAAATTCATACACTGCTTTCAATTGTTCATTTAGCTGCATGATTTGTTTTCTATCAGAGAAAATGAAGGTAAATAGTTAAGCTTGTATTACATTTGATATATTGGTGAAAAAATGCCACCAAAATTGCCCCTTACTGTTAGGTATTCTTGATTAGAAGGGATTCCTTCTACTCAAGTTTTTCATTTGAAGGTTTATAATCGTTTTTATGTCTCATCTCTTTCATCTTAATTCGCCTTCCTGGACTATCGCAACATTCATTTAAAATATGGACAGCATACAAGGAATAGTAGAATAAAGGCTCTCAAATCATTCCATTTTGACTGTTTATGCTCTGTCTTCCTTCGTTTTGGGTTTGAAAACATGCGTTCAGACATGCTTCAATTAAATCAATCTAAGGGAGCTGGTCTACATCTGGCTTTCAACATATGATAAAACAGAACCGTTTACTTAGCCTGGGGTAAAATCAGCTCTTCATTTAGAATCAATCTGCATTCAGCAAGGTTGTTTTTAGTGCAACTTCTGTTCAGGGTCTCAACTCTTACTTTCCATTAGTGACAGGGAGGTTTTCTTGCTGGTGAGTGTTCCCCTGGGTTTTTTTCCCATCACCTTCTTCTTTGATGGGGTACACCTTTGTCCTGCTTCAATTTGCTGGGTTTAGCACCTACAGTTGCTTCGAGGGGATAATGAACACATTCCTCATGATGGAGAAACTGTGCACAAATCTTGAAGTGTACAGTTGGGGGAAGTTATAAAATGAATGTATGGGACTAATTTATCTTGGCACAACTGCAATGCTTCCTTCTGTTTTCTGCTGTAACTCTCCCCTCTAATCTATAGACTCTTCCTTCAAGCTCCAATTGTCACAACTGCAATTCTTCAGGCTAACAATAGTAACAACAAAAATAATGACAATTACTCTAATTGGGACTCCTTAAGCACTTACCTATGCTGGACACTATGCTAAGTGATGGATCTTGAGTAATTCTCACAAGAATCCTATGAAATCCAGACTGTCTCTCCCTTTTTTGATGAAGAAATTGAAGCTTGGAGGAGTTTAGTAGCTTGCCCAAAGCCACACATCTAGTAAGTGGATTTAAACCAGGTGGTTTGACTTCTGAATTTATGCTCATGACACCCGGGGTTCTTTGTCCTCTTGTTCCCCTTCCACTTGTAGTTTATCCAGCAACATTTTTTTTTTTTTAAATAGAACTATACCAGGCCTGGGGAAGACAAGCACATGATAGGGCAGGCCCTGTCCAGGGTGCCCCCCAGCAAGGAAATGGCAAAGGAGCACAAAGAGGTGAGAAGATGGAGAAGGAAACACAAGCCTCTCTGTGAGGAAGTCAGGAAAGACTTCAGGGAGGAGGTGATGTTTGTGTGGCTGTGAAAGCGAAGCAGGAGTTTGGCAGGTGGGCCAGAAGGGAACAGGCCTCTGGGCTGCTGGTTGAAGAAGCTCAGCAGCCCCTGCTTTCTCCTCACTCCAGACCTGGGTTGGGCACTCCTCTTTCTTACTCTTTCTCTCTGGCTCTGCCTGTGGCTCTTGCAGTCTGTCCAGAATGTCCACGGTGGATTGGCTCATTCTGCTTTCTTTGTGCTACTTTGTCTGACATTTTCCTAATGGTGTCTAACCACATGCCAGTGGTCCATGGGCCAAAGCTCATTCTCAGACAAGTTTTCTTTGGGCTTTACAGTAGGGCTTTTTACAAGTGCTATTGGATTAGCTGTATACATTTTGAAGTGGGGATAGTTCAGTAAAAATAGGGATATCTGACATCTCTAGAAAATTGAGATCTGTTAACATAGGGGTCCAGATCCTGCAATGCAGAAGTTTTATTCCTTCTTTGTTTTTAGAGACAGGGTGTCATTCTGTCACCCAGACTGGAGTGCAGTGGCACAATCATAGTTCACTGCAGCCTTGAACTCCTGGGCTCACGGGATCCTTTTGCTATGTAACCCAGGCTGGTCTTGAACTCCTGGCCTCAAGTGATCCTACTGCCGCAGCCTCCCAAAGTGCTGGGATTACAGGCGAGAGCCACTGTGCCCAGCCCAGAAGTCTTTAGAGAGGTATAGATGTGCCTGTTGTCACCTGCCAGCTTGACCCTGGCCACGTGGCCTCCCTGGGCCCTGTCGTTGCATTTATGATGTGGTGACCCTTTCCCTGAACTACCTAGTAATACCTTCTTCCTTGTGCACCTTTTAAGCAATTATCATATATTTCTGGGATATTTCCCTATAGGTAATGAGTGACCTTATATTTACACTTGTGTTATATATGACATAAGCCTCTGCAGCTTCAACTATTCCTTAATCCAGGAACTTTTCTTGGGGAGGAAGGATATTTTGCTAGATAGGCACATTTTTGGGGTTTCTTAGCAGACTATGTGCTTCTATGGGGGTAGAAACTATACCCAGTTCATCCTGGTTTTGCCCATAACAGGTTGGCAAACTTTGCCTTAGGAAGCATAGCATCTCTGTCATAATTACTCAACTCTGCCATTCTGGAGAGTACAGTCACAGAGGAGGGGTAAATAAATGGGTGTGGCTGTGCTCCAAGGAAACTTTATTTACATAAACAAAGGCTGTGTAAGATTCCACCTGTGGGCTGTAGTTTGCTGAGCCGTGGCCCAAAACTATCAACATAATCTCAACAAATGGTTAAATTTTTTAAAAAGATTCAGTAATATGTAATAAAAATAAGCTTGCCTTTTCGAAAAGTGAAAATACTTGGTATAAGACTTCATATTAGTGTATAGGCATCTAAACAACTGAAGAGCTTGGGAAGATTTGGTAAATTTTCACTAGGTGTATTATTGAAACAAATATATGTTGTTTTTGAAACCACCATAACTACCATACTTCCAATTTTATATCTTTCAGCTTTACTGAGTTTGGGCTTCCCCATTAATGACTGTCTTTTTGTTACAATCAACGGCATCTGGAAAAATCATATATAATCCTAACTAGGTGAGAAAAAAGTAGACAAACATGATTACCAGCTGTTTTGTTTGTTTGTTTTTGTTTTTGTTTTTGAGACAGAGTTTCACTCTTGTTGCCCAGACTGGAGTGCAATGGTGCAATCTTGGGTCACTGCAAACTTCGCCTCCAGGGTTCAAGCGATTCTGCTGCCTCAGCCTCCTGAGTAGCTGGGATTACAGGTGCCTGCCACCCGCCTGGCTAATATTTGTATTTTTAGTAGAAAGGGGGTTTCTTCATGTTGGCCAGGCTGGTCTAGAACTCCTGACCTCAAGTGATCCACCCGCCTCAGCCTCCCAAAGTGGTGGGATTACAAGCATGAGCTACGGGGCCCGGCCCAGCCTGGTTATTAACTGAACAACTATCAGTCCCCTAAAGTCAACATAGGTACATTTCTAAATTGAAGGTTGAGGATGTTAAAGCTTGGCGGGAGTTAAGGCAAATCAGGAGTTTGGCTGTCTGTTACTTGAGCATAAATCTTACCTAACAGAGTCATGATAATCCTTGACTTTTAAGAATTTCCCAGATGGGAAAACAGGATGTTTCAAAATCCTTTCTATTTCAGACACGTTCTCTCTGAGGCCTTTGAAGTCTGCCTTACAGACAGGCAGGGTCTCTCTTTTATCTTCCATGTTAGCAGCCAGTCTCATTAACCCTTGCACCGCTTTGGAGAGGGAAGAAATGGTGTGATCCCATTGATCAAAGCACAAGTGACACTGAAGACAAGTAGGGAATTCCTGGCTGTGACCCCGGGCACAGCGATCACATCTCTGGCCGCTGACACCCTCCCGGCAGCGACACATGCCTGTGTCTGGATCACAGATGGGCTTCTGGGTACCCACCCTGTTGCAATCACATGCTAAAAAGGAAAAGAGAAGGAGCAGAGAATGTCACTGGGTCTTTTGTTGATGACTAGCTCAAGAATCAGGTCTTTTCTTCTCTCCTGAGAATCTTCCCAACTCACACTTCTAAGATGAATATTTAAAGCCAATATAATTTCAGAGATCTGTGCAATAGCCATTATAAGACAGCATGGCTCTCTATATTCCACTAACAAATCAGTTTACTATTTCAATTTGGCAAATATCAGATGTTTTTATTTTGTGAGTGCAAGCGTCTACAAGTGGGATCCTCATCTATTTGAGTAAGAAGTGTGATTTAATGACGGACACATGGTAGTAACTCTGCTGCTACAGCCTCGGAGGGTGGTGTATCAAGACTCTCTAAGAAGTCCCATGGTCACACTTCTTCTGAGTAAAGCCCAGCTTGGGTGTGCTGACCATGCTGTCTTCCATTACATAAGGAAAACAATTTCATTTGCCAAAAAGGAGAGGAAATTAAATTCATTTCGTCTTAATTAAAAAAAAAAACTGATTCCACACAGTACTTTATTTGAGTAGGTTTCTGACCAAGCCTGAAGATAGAGGATAGGGAGATCTACTGATCTTACTGCAATCTCCAAAAGATTAGGGAATCACTAGCTTATGTTGTTGGACTAACTGCAAGGAATAAGTAATTTAAAAATGCATTTGAGGCTGGGTATGGTGGCTCATACCTATAATCCCAGCACTTTGGGAGGCTAAGGTGGGTGGATTTTTGAGCCCAGGAGTTCCAGACCAGCATGAACAACATGGTGAAACCCTATCTCTACAAAAAATACAAAAATTAGACAGGTGTGGTGGCATACACATGTATTCCCAGCTACTCTGGAGGCTGAGGTGGGAGGATCACTTGAGCCCAGGGAGGTTAAAGCTGCAGTGAGCTGTGATCATGCCACTATACTCCAGCACAGGGAACAGAGTGAGACCCTGTCTCAAAAAAAAAAAAAAAAAAAAAAA